GGCGCCCCCCCTCTCACTTTTTTAATAAGCATTCTCTGGAGTAGACATAAAACCATTTTGTACCCTACGCTTATTGGTTACTTTTGAATTTTTATTCAAAGCTGCTCTATTTTACCCTCTTTAAATGGCATCACTCATCTTTATTTCACCCCCTCATCAACTACAAGTCTGTTTCCTTTGGTAAAAACATTCTCTTAATAGATGAGCACATGCTGGAAACTGAATCTAGAGAAATATGGCATACTCTCTGTAGCAACTTCTCTGCAAAAAAACCAAAATCTTCATGGACTGGGGATTACTTGGGGTTTTGAAACAGTGTTCTAAACTCCTTATGCACACCTTCACATCTCTGAAGCTCTGTAAAAACTGTATTCTCAAAAAAGAAACTCACCTTTCTTGTAAAAGCCTATCTTTTCCATACACTCTCTCTCAGCCACTAACCCACACCTCTCCTAAAAAGCAATCAAGTGTTGTCACTAAAGTCTATGCAATATTTTATTTATATTGACCTTCTAAATAGTGAGAGCCTTACATGATCTTCCTAATTGCCTAGTAGAATGCCATCTATCCTGAGGATTTAGCATATTGGTCAATATCAAACATGTGGAATTCATTTAATTCCATGATCTCATTTTTTAGAAGAACAACAGTTGAGTATCAGTCTCATGGTCAAGGAGAATGAGGGCCAGAAGTGCTCTTTCCTGATATCCACACCACTGATCAAGCACACTCTCCTAACTCTACATAGTTGGCGACTAAGCATTCTAGGAATGTTTCTGAATGAAAAATACAAAAAGTCTGAACTTTCAAATAAATCTGAACTTCAAGATTCTGAGCCTGGGTGGCTCAGTCGGTTATGCGTCCAACTACGATCAGGCCATGATCTCGCGTTCCGTGAGTTCGAGCCCGGGGTCAGGCTCTGTGCTGACAGCTCAGAGCCTTGAGCCTGCTTTGGATTCTGTGTCTCCCTCTCTCTCTGCCCCTCCCCTGCTGACACTGTCTCCCTCTCTCTCAAAAATAAATAAAACATTAAACATTTTTTTAAAATTCAAATATGATTTATTTCAAAGCAGTCTCTCTGGAAAGCTATGCAAATACTTACTTCAATGATGTTACAACTGATTAGGAGTTTTATAAATTCTCTTTGAAAGTGCTGTTAGGGCCAGTTCACAAGAAAATCATAATTCTTAAGCCAATTTCATAATCATATATCATTTTACACTCCGATTGATGTTACTCAGTTTTTCCATCATCTTATTCTGTGAAATTAAATGATCTTTAGCCATCTCAAAAATTTATATCCAGCCTCAAAGCATCAAGATGATTTCATAAGCATCATTCATTGTTCATGATACTCAAAGAGAATATAAAATTCCAAAAGACCAGCTTAAGATGATGGCATTTAAAAAGTCAGTTCATAACCTGCTTATATTCCTTCTATATATATTGTCTGTTTATATTCCTTCTCTTTCCAAAGATAATTTGAGATAGCTTTATTATTATTTTCAAAAAAAACCCAACACTTATATAATGATATAAATTGTTTTCAAAGAACATTTTTACTTATAACTCAGGCAATCATGTAACTTCTGAAAAACTCTCTAAAACTTATTTCTTTTAATGTTTTATTTATTTTTGAGAGAGATACAGAGTATGAGTGGGGAGAGAGCAGAAAGAGAGACACACAGAATCCGAAGCAGGCTCCAGGCTCTGAGCTGTCAGCACAGAGCCCCATGCGGGGCTCGAACTCACGAACCGTGAGATCCTGACCTGAGCCAAAGTTGGACGCTCAACCGACTGAGCCACCCAGGTACCCCTCTCTAAAATTTATTTAAAGGATACTCTGAAAGATAAGCATGTCAAATTATATTGAATATATACTTAAATGTGCATAGAAAATTGTCTTAAAGTACATATACCAGGATGTAATGATGGTATCCTTTGAGGGACAGGATTATGAGGCACTTTTAATTTTTCTTTATTTTTGGTCACCTGGACCTTCTTACATTCATACTAAGAATATGGAGCATTTATACAATCAATCAATCAGTCAATCAATCAACCAATTGGGGCACCTGGGTGGCTCAGCTAGTTGGGCGTCAGATTCTTGATTTCGGCTCAGGTCATGATCTCACAGTTTGTGAGATTGAACTCCAGTCAGGCACTGCACTGACAGCATGGAACCTGCTTGGGATTCTCTCTCAATCTCAATCTCTCTCTCTCTCTCTCTCTCTCTCTCTCTGTCTGCCCCTCACCCACACGCATGCACGCTTTCTCTCAAAATAAATAAACATTTACAAAAAATCAATAAATACCAAACATATATATATATAAATTTTTTTTTAACATTCCAGGATCTAAGCATTAAGGATGCTTAATCCTGCATATCTTAATATTTAAGAGCTCAAAATTTGGCTCAGGAAGAAGGGTATGCCTGCCTAGATACTACAGAGGCAGGGTTTAAAAAGAACCTTAAGTCTGGGTTTATCTCATCTCCTTCCCTTCTGCATAATTCTACAACTATCTATACAACTCAAAAAGGAAACCTCGCCTATTCTAAATGAGCTACTACCTCTCAAAATGTTTAAGGCAAATTCAACAATTACATTGTTGATGACCTGAAAATGGGTCACCACACACAACTGATTATAACTCTCTTATGCAATCCTTCCTTTGGAGGAAACAAACACAGCTTGTACAAATATTTCAACTAGACCTACTTCCCTAAGAGAAGATGGTACGCATCTGTAAGCATTACCAAGTTCTAAAAGCGCACAGCAAGGCAAAGGAAAAATTATGAAGAAGTTAAATCAGCCTAGTCATTTGTCCCAAGCAATTTCATATTACATCATTAATTTAAGAAAGTCCATAGGCTTCTATTGCGTCATTAGTTAATAAACAAACCAGGCCAAGTTAAGACATTTTTACTTTGAAAGTTATGATGAAACAGATTATCTGGAAAAATAAGATCAGGTTTGAGAAATAACTACATTTCTACAGGATATGTCATTGTTTTCTATAGTTGCCTGTTAAACAGCTATACTATTTTCTTTCTAACTAGGAATTTAGGGCTCAAAACTATATCCAGCATGCTTTTAGTCTTTAAGCAAACAGACACTTATGAAATATATCTGAATGAATTTATATGGTGTGGACATTCCACATGTAAAGATTTGAAGATCATACCGCTCAACTACACACAAGTTCAGATGCCTGTATCAAAAGAAGAGATGAATGGGGGACAGGCAACCACAACGTGAAAGAACAGCCCTCCCAAACTGAGTAACACCACATTCCATCTCCCTGGGATGGAACTAGGAAGGGGTGCTGCCCCAACTATACAGGCATTAAATCAGATATACTTGGGGAGTATCTCAAAAATGCAACACCTCACAGCTCCCTTCCTATTTCACCATCTGAGAACCCTACACCTCAGAGGCCCTTGTAGCAAGAGGGAAATTTCCAATTGAATCATTCATAAAGTATCTTCTCCCTCCCTGAGTTTAGAAAAATCAGCCCAGAGACCCTAAAAGGAAATCACCAATTTATCCTTAAAATGAACACCGAGAGTTCCCAGCCTAAGAAGGAGTTATAGGTGCTCTGTAGTGTTTTTAAGGCACAAAGCTGGAGAGCAGAAAGTAGCTAGATGGTGCTGGAGAAGCCGCTGCATTTGAATGAAAATCAGTCCGTAAAGATCCTATCTTTTTCACATTACTTATCCTAGACAGAAAGGTGGGGGCCTAGAATCAAAACATAAAGCTTAGGATGTCTTTGGTCCACCTCTTTGGGGGAGGGGGGCGGAGAAAGAAAACTTTTGTTGAAGGGTGGGCACGGTGTGTGGTATCTAAACTCCAAGAGACCTAGCATTACTTCCAGAAACAAGCCCATAGCAGTAGCAAAATGTATGAACTCTGGCAATCTGAACATGAGGATCAGTGTGACTGTCAAAAAATGTATGATATATTCCAATTTTATTTTTTTTCTTCTTTCCTAAAATTGGTCAATATTTTATAATATTTCAAAATCATCTTTAGAATGAAAATTTTAAAACCTAGGCTAAATTAGCTGAGTTACTACCATTACACAATCTCAAAAGTTTTACAAGCGTCAACCTTCAGGGCACCCAGGTGGCTCAGTCAGTTAAGCGTCCGACTCTTGATTTCGGCTCAGGTCATGATATCACGGTTCATGAGTTCAAGCCCTACATTGGGCTCTGCGCTAACAGTGTGGAGCCTGCTTGGGATTCTCTCTCTCCCCCTCTCTCTGACCCTCCCCCACTTATACTGTCTCTCTCTCTCTCTCAAAATAAATAACTTAAAAAAAAAGTGTCAACCTTCAATCCGATATACATCTTTAGCACCTGATGCTAAAACACCTAAATTGTCACTAAGTGCCTTAACAGGGGTGCTGGGTTAATAATATCACCAATTAGGGCAGAAAGAAGATGAAGGTGAAGAAAAAGTACCTCTTTATACAATCCCACTGAGGCTCCTACTCTACTTTCTTCAGCTGCTCAGGGGGCTAAAACGATGAGGAGTGGAGAGAACGGAAAAGGGTGATTTCACTGCTAGGTACCCAGAGTTGGAGTGAACAAAAAGCAAAGGAGGATCTAAAGAGGATTTTTAAATGACAGAATTAGAATAGACACTACATAACATTAACTCCAATAATCTAGCAATTAAAATGAGACTTAAGACATGTTTATTATTTTACTACTCAGCCTGAATGGACAGTGGGCCTTTAAGATTATTTAATCTTACCCTGACAGAAAAATCTAGAGTTATGATCATTACAATCATGCAAAGGGTTCATTTCACCATCTTCTGTCACACTAGGAAGTCCCACAGAAAGTCACTAATTAATTAACCAAAGCCCAAAAAGGAAAAATTCAGTTAAATAACCATTTCTGGAATTATCTCCCATAAAATGTAGGCTTTTTTTTCCTCTTTTTCTCTTTGATTTCAAAACTCTCTAATGAGACAAATTGAGTAGTCACATACCTATAGATGGAGATTTGAAAGGGTATTTATCAGGAAGATCCACTCTAACTTTCCATACTCCACCTTCATATGGTGCTGAAATACAAGTAAAAATGTTAAACATTGTAACTGTGTGTTTCCACATTAAAAAACAAATCTGAGTCAAGGTGAAACATTAAATCCTAATCTCTTTCGAAAACCTTGTAAATTAATTCCTTCAAGAGTCAGGGACCCCATAATTAGTAGCTATTATATGCTCAGATTAAAATACTTTTCTTTTTAAAAAAATTTTTTTTAACGTTTATTTGTTTTTGAGACAGAGAGAGACAGAGCATGAACGGGGGAGGGTCAGAGAGAGGGAGACACAGAATCCGAAACAGGCTCCAGGCTCTGAGCTGTCAGCACAGAGCCCGACGCCGGGCTCGAACTCACGGGCTGTGAGATCATGACCTGAGCCGAAGTCTGCTGCTTAACCGACTGAGCCACCCAGACGCCCCTAAAATACTTTTCTTTAACAGATCTAGAGTTGGGGGCACTGGGATGGCTCAGTTGGCTAAATGTCTGACTTTGGCTCAGGTCACGATCTCATGGCTCGTGGGTTTGTGGGTTCGAGCCCTGCATCAGGCTCTGTGTTGACAGCTCAGAGCCTGGAGCCTGCTTCACATTCTGTGTCTCCCTCTCTCTCTCTCTGCCCCTCCCTGGCTCTTGATTGGTCCCTCTCTCTACCAAAAATAAATAAATATTAAGAAATATATATTTTTTAAAGATCTAGACCTGGAAAATAAGCAAAGACTCATTTCTCCCCTACATTTACCTGATTCTGTAAAGTATTAAGCACTATTCAATTAATTGGTAAATAACAGCCTCCTATTTCAATCTACCCTGTTGACCACCCCTAACCAAACCCAAAAACAGAAATAGAAAAAATACATGAAACTTTCCCCCAAACCATACACTGAGTAGCCACTCATTAAAAAATAAATAAAAATAAACAAGAGTATTCACGATTCATGTTTAATACTGTCGCATGGAGATAAAAGAGAAAAGCATATAAAGAGTTATGATAAAAGCAAGACTTCCTCACTGGTTCTACAGTTGCATTAAATTTACTGTTCAAATACTACCCCGCCACCACCTATCACTGATATTCTCATTACTTATTAAGGAGTAGAGAGAAAAGAAAAAGAAGAGCGCACATCAACATGTGTACTTACTTCCTTGTGGTCCATAAAACTTCACTACAAATTCATTGAGTCCTCCCAGGATCGTAACCTCATGCTTACTCTCAATGCTAAGGCAGAAGGTAAAGGAAAGTACACAGGCTTTATATTACCTAGAACTAAAGATGATATCCCCAAGATATGCTATGTAAAGTGTTACCAACATTTGATATGAAACTGACAATATAAAATATACATAGTCATTCTGGTCACTTAGGAGGCAATATATACTCTTGTGAAAAGAAAGGGAATGAGCTTTAGATTCAGAGGCTGGAGTTCAAATCCCAGGACCGCCATTTGCTGGTTTTGCGGGCCCATGCAGAATAACATGAACTCACTCTTTGACAACTGGGAAACACCACTTCATAGAATTTCTGTAAGGACTGAATGGGTCAAATATGTAAAATGTGTAAGACTGCATTTTGTATATACATAATGTATATGTATATACAATACATAATGTATATTGGATATAATGCATGTACATAATGTATACACATAAATGAAAAACAGGCACTTAGTTTTAGTTTTTCTCTCCTCTGTGAGCTCTCTTCCCCAACCTACTCCCAGTGACCCTTTAACATAAACTCCATTATTCCCTTTAGTCAAATCCAAATACTCAGCATAGCACTGATTCTCCTAAAGTATAAATGCCGTGCTCCTAAAATTATGGATTTACTAATAAGCCAAGTCCCCACCTGTTCTCCCCCTGGCTTGGAGAATAATCAAATAATTAGTGATGCCACCTTGCTAACAAGTACTGTTAAATGCAAAAGACCAGCAAAATATTTAAAAAAACAAAAACCAAAATGTTGTCTGTAGTATTTCCTTTCACCTATGCTTTCTCTCCCTTCCAAATCTCTCTGCCCCTTAGACTGGCCTCTGGGTTCTGGTGCATGCCAGGGCTCTCCTCACAGGAGCAACACTTCTGTGGTCTCTTCCTCAAAAACTTGCCTGTCCCTGACACTCTCACCTCTTTAAGGTACTAATATTCAGCTATAGGAACCAAACCAACCCGAATCAGAAATGAGAGCTACTGGTTTAATATGTACCTGTTTTATGTTTCTGTTTTGTAGTTCAAACAAATAATGACTCAGGAATTTTAGGTGCTGGGCTTTGGAGGGCCCTCAAATCTCACAATGAAATTAAACAACAACTAAACCCCTAACAATCAGTTATGATAAACTGGTCTTATCTTTCTCCGTCAGCAATGCCAATTACATTTTAATTACATGTACTATTATACAAAGGGAAAGAACTGAAAGAAATGTAAAAAAACATTCTCTTATATAAAGAAATACGGTCTTTTTAAAAGATTTGAAATTACATATTTGGCTTTCTTATTTTGTGGTCCTACGGGCCACGAAACAGAGGGGCTGGGTGTATTTTTGGGAAAGTGCCTTGCTGAAGAGCCTTGAACAATCTCCGCTGAAGACATGTAACAAGACAATTTAGTTTATGCTACTTTGATCTCATTCTTTTCTAAATGAAAACTATTTTAATAACATGCACACTGAAAGGACTCAAATAGTATCCACATTGTAAAATGGGCTTCATTTCTCGCTTGGTCAAATGAGACATTCATGGATGCTTTGGGGTAAATTCTACCTGACTAGTCACCTTCTGTCACCTGGCAAAATATTCCAAAGCTAATGCTTATGTAATAAATAAACGTACAACAGGTTTAAATTGTCTTAAAACAAACAAAAGAGCCAAAAGAGCACCTTGTGTTGTAAGTTAAACCTAGTTACAATAAACAAAATTAAACACAATAAAGCCCTTGAAGAAAACAGACTTTTTAAAAAATAATCTTGGGGGCTCCTGGGTGGCTCAGTAGGTTAAGCATCTGACTTCAGCTGTGCTGACAGCTCAGAGCCTGGAGCCTGCTTCAGATTCTGTGTCTCCCTCTCTCTCCGCCTCTCCCCCACTTGTGCTCTCTCTCAAAAATAAACGCTTAAAAATAAAAAAATAATCTCGGGGCAAAAAGGCTTTCCTAAGAACGACACCAAAGCCAGAAACCAGAAAGGAAAAGGTTAGCAGATACAAGCACAAACACACATGTAAAACTTTTGTATTGTAAAAGACAAAAAAATAGGTATGTATACGTTTTTTTAAGCAGGCATCAAGCCCGGCATGGAGCCGAACGCAGGGCTTGAACTCATGACCCAGAGATCAAGACCTGAGGGAAAATGAGACTCAACTGACTGAGCCACCCAGGCGCCCCATAAAAGGCAAAATTAAAACAAAGGACAACCTAGGAAGGAAAAAAAACTATAGCATATGACCAAAAAGTGTGAATTAAAATATATAAGGTTATTACAAAGCAGTAAGAAACATGAGAAACACCTTGACAAAGAAAAGACAAGAACAGCCAAGAAAACTGAATGAGCATAATTAAGCTAAAAAAATTTCAATTCATTAGTTTAAAAATCACACATTTTCCACTCTTTTCCACTATACACTGATAAAGAGGAAAGAGCTGATGAAAACCTCGTGTTCAGTGGAATACAAATTAGTATTCCTGAGGGTAAATTTAACACTATATTCCAAAACTCAAAATGCATTTATCTTTTATTCAAATTTCCCTTTTATGAAGTTATTTTATAAAAAAAATAACCAGAAACTGCTGGTGGGAGTGTGACACAGTTTCAACCATCCTGGAAAACCGCTGGCGTGGTAAAGCTCCACACGTGCACCCTCCCAATAGTCAGGTATAGCCGTGATCACCAAAACACAGGTTCAAGGATGCTCACGGTGCTACTTACAAATCCAAAAATTAGGTTACGACCCAGAGACTCCCCAATAATAAAAAGGACTTACGGTTGTCACCCAACAGAATACTGCACAGCAATAAAAAATGAATTGCAACATGTTAAGTGCATGAGTCTCCCAGATAGGACAGTGACAGAAACCAGATACCAAAGAGTAGACACAATATGATTCCAGCCATACACATTTCAAAGAGACTAAATAAATCAACGGTGTCAGACATCAGGATAGTAGCTACCCTAGTGGAGACTGTGAGCACCGGGAAGTGGTTTGAGGGGGATTTCTGGGGTGCTGATTAAACCATTACTGTTTCATTTATCACTGAGTTACAAAAACGATTTTTCGTATATATATGCTATTGTCTAACCAAAAGTTTACTGAAAGTAAGTCAAAGTATATCTGAAACGTGCAAATATGTTTACTGGAATATATGAAATTTAAAAATGGAAATTAGGGGCGCCTGGGTGGCTCAGATGCTTAGGCGTCCAACTCTCTTATTTCACTAGTGTTTACTGATGCCCTCTCCCCACCCAGAGCTCTTCCAATGTACGTTTCTGCTCAGCTTGGGGTATCCAGTAGTAGTCAACTGAATAAAGTAGTACAGATAAAGATATCCCAGTCATTAAACAAAACCAAATAAATTCACAAGGATAACGAAAGAATAGAGTAAGGCAGAAATTTAAATGAGTTTAACAAAAGAAGTCATAAACTAATTTTTTAAATATAAAAATCTGTAGAAGCAGCATTCCTCATTAGCCAGAACTAACTTGCTATGAGTAGCACTGATTAAAATATTTATTTTTGAGAGAGAGAAGGAGAATGTGGGGGGGGGGGGGGGGGGGGGGCGAAGAGAGAGGGAGACTCAGAATCAGAAGCAGGCTCCAGGCTCTAACCTGTCAGCACAGAGCTCGACGAGGGGCTAGAACCCACAAATCGTGTGATCATGACCTGAGCCAAAGTTGGACGCTCAACCGACTGAGCCACTCAGGTGCCCCTGACAGCGATTACTCTTAATCACTTAAAATTCTGTTATCCACATGGATGGCTCTTCTAGAAAACTGAGATCATTTCTATCCTTTACATGGCTGCAATAAATCTGGGTTTCTTCCATTTTGTGACCTGTTTGAGAGTTAGCCCATGCTTTTATCTACTCTCCAAAGAGTCATGTTAAAATGAGATTAGAAATCAATGCTCTGGGGACGCCTGAGTGGCTCACTTGGTTGAGCACCCAACTTCAGCTCAGGTCATGATGTCACGATTGGTGAGTTCAAGCCCTGTGTTGGGCTCCTCTGTTGTCAGCATATAGCCCGCTTTGGATCCTCTGCACCCTTCTCTCTTTGCCCCTTCCCTGCCTGTGCTCTCTCTCTCTCAAAAATTAAAAATAAACATTAAAAAAAATTTTTTTTAAGGAAATCAATGCTCCAAACCTCCCCTTTCCCACAATCCCTGGGATGGTCTTCCACGTCAGATATACTGGCTCTGTCTTTAGTTACACATTATTAGTGAATTAGAGTTCTTAGAGTCCATTTCATATGAAAAGCTCAAGTAAGCTGAATGAAACCTTTAAAACTCCTACCAAGTTGGTAAAACGAAGAAGCTGTGCTAAATTTATGCTGCCTTGGAATGGTACAGACAACTAAATCAGATGGAAAAAAAGAATTTAAGTTTAGTTGAAAGAAAAACACTGCATTAAAAATAAGCCATTTCATCACCATGAATGACTGACTTGCCCACAAAAAATATAAAATTACTTGACTGCTGTTACCATGTGTGTTTATGGTAGAGGCCGCGAGTTTCTTTCTCCTCTCTGTTGCAAAGTCAAGGGCAAGGAAGGCAAATGAGAAGGCAGGTTACAATGACAAAAATAATGATCTATTTCTGATCAGGCTAGTAGACTGGCAGGAGCTCACTAGAAGGTTTCTTCATTACTTTCTCAGTTTCAAAGCTTAAAAGCAGAAAATAACCTTCAGATACTGTTCTGGTAAAAATATGTTAAACAAACGCATAAAGCCACATTTTACTCACCTCTGATCTAAGCTGTTCGCAAATACTGCGTTTTACTTACTTAGCATTTCACTATTAAGTACTATCAGCATTTTTGGTAGAATAATGATTAACATTCCCAGGAACCCAAGTTCATTTCACTTTTAAAATGCCAGCCACCCACCCCCTTATTTCCCCTGAATGGCATTACGATTACACAATCTAATATTTAAAGGTTAATGCCAAACTGTCAAGAGATAACTGACATTCTTGGCAAAACGTGTCTATCGGGATTTTAGAAATGATTTTTATATAGTTCTGGAATTTTCCAGAAAGAGAGCCAAGGGCTAAAAGCCTGTGCCACAGGATTGACCTTAACAGGTCAAAGACCTAGGAATCAGACAGCATTGTTTCCTAAGTTTACTGATAATGAGCTTATAAAATAAATGAGGGTGGCCTCCCTGAGCTGTGTCCATGGAAGTAAGGGACTGGGGTGAAGAATGTGCTTCTGTACAGAAAGTAGAAGCAATCTGTGTGGCTTTCTCTATATATGTTCAGACCAGTCTATTTCCAACCCTCCTTGAGATTAATCACATTCTGAAAGTTGAAGAAACTTGCCAACCTTTATTTACTACCTGGTATTCTTAATAAAAACACAGCGTGTCTTGTGAACCCATTAATGTGCAAAGTATCACAAAAATAATATTGGGTCATGTTTATAGAGAATCCTCCTTTAGGGATGTACACTGAAATATTTACTAACTAAGCTATATGATGTCTAGAATTTGCCTTAAAATAACCCAGTATGGGCAGAGTTAGGAAAGGGGTACAGAAGAAATGGCGGAAGCCTTGAGGTAGGAATTACTGAATCTGAATGATGGGTGCCTGGAGGGGGGAGCAGTCACCACATTGTTCTTCTATGTTTGAAATTTTCCAGAAGAAAAGTTCTAACAGTGTAGAAGAACTTAGCTGCTGTAGCTGTTTCTCAAAAGCTTATGAAGGGGGGGGCGGGGCACCTGGGTGGCTCAATCGGTTATGCATCTGATTTTTCTTTCAGCTCAGCACACGATCTCACAGTTCATGGGCTTGAGCCCCACGTCAGGCTCTGTGCTGGCAGTGCAGAGCCTGCTTGAGATTCTCTGCCTCTCCCCTTCTCATGTGCGCTCTCTCCCCCCGTCAAAATAAACAAACATTTAAAGGAAAAAAAAAGCAAGCTTATGAAACAATCCAACATTTTTTCCTGAGGTCCAGTACTTAGTCTGAGGAAGAAAAAGGCAGCAAATGATCCAGTACGTAAAAGAACAAAGACTTCTTATTGAAATGAGAAGAACACTCTGCCAAGGTAGCAACTCAACAAGTGACATTCTAGATGAATGAAATTCAAAAGGATGTCTAAGAAAAATTCAACCACTCAGAAGGAATATGAGCATAGCTTTTGCATACCTATGACAAATAGCCCTCTCTGGGCAATAATCACTTATACCTTCAACAAAGGTACATCTGTAAAGAAAAATGGTCATGTACAACAGCAGAGGCTCCTGGGTGAGATGAAAGTTTAAATTAAAAAAAAAAAAGGCTTTTAAAGGTTTGTATTCTTTTTATTAGGAGAGGGGAGGACTTTTACAGAAAAGAGAAATAATGAAAATAGAAATAAAAGCTATCAAGAAAATAAGCATGGGGAAAAGGATGAAAGGCAGTAATAGGGAAGGAAAAAGCCTTCTGCCAGTGATGAAATAAAATATAAAGAATAAGGGCATATTTTTATCATTTATCTCAATCTGGGAGACAATAATACAATGCCAAGAGCAATCAACAAAACAATATGCAGGTGTCATATTTCCTAAACTCAGACGATTTTATTCCCTGTATCACCCTCCAAAATATTTTAAGCTTTCCACATGAAGTGACAGGAATCTATTGTGCTGAGCTATGGAGAATATACTGTTAGCATCTATTAAATCCACAAAAGATCACAGGCTTTATTTCTGTTAAAAAGTTGGTTTACTAAATATTCTACACACAAGAGCCATAAGGCAAACACAAACCACTCTTGGACGAACCTGCTTAAAATTTAGCAAGGGAACAGGAGATCTGTACGTTAAAGAGTAAAGGTAAAAAAGGGTTGCACCAAGTGCTACTACGGTCTACAGAAATAGATTTCTTCTAGTTTGCAGGTATAGACAGAGATGGATTTACACAGGGCTTAAGAACAGTATGGGATTTGGATGTGCAGAGGTGGGAGAGGCATTTAAAACAAAACCAGAAAAGCACAGGATATGTCCACAGAATGGGGACCACTACGTTTTTATTGTGATGAGTGGACCATGGGGAGTGTAAGAAAGTAAGCCAAGACCAGATTATCAATGGCCCCAAAGTATGGATTTTATACAGTGAACAGAGACAGTTTGTATTCCTAGCACGATGAACGCAACTGTGCTTTACACAAAGATACCTGAGCTGTGGTGTGTAGGACTGGCTGAAGGGGTGATAAACAGTTAAAGCAAAAGAGCAGAAAAGAAACATTCAAGGCCTCAACTAAGGTAACAGCCATGGGAATGATGGGAGAGATTAGAGAGACTTCTCAGGCTTTGCAACTGACTAGACACAGCATAGCTGATAGAAAGCAGCTCCAGTGCTGCTAGAGTATCTCATTTTCGTGGGAAACCAAAAAACCAGATTTCTAAGTCAATCTCATTTCTAAATGTAAACAGAGCACATGTGCTCCAATGTCTCTCAGTGAAGCTTTCTGGGATCATTCTACTTACAACCACAGGCTGCTACATTCCCAGCAACTAATTAATATACTATGTATTTTATTTATCTCTTGTCTCCTACTACACAATGCAAACTTCGTAAGGACAAGGATTCTCTGGTTTGTTCACTGCTGCATTCTTAGAGCCTAGAAGAGTGCCTGGCACATAGTAGGGACTCAATCAATACTATATAAAATGAACATATGAAGTTGCAAGACAGGCATGACCTGAAACTGCCAATCTGAGGTCTGACTATAGTTGTAGCCTTGTCGGACAGCAGAGGTGATACTATTAATGGCAAGGTGGAACACAGGACAGAAGGGACAAATTTTTTATGGAAGATGCTAAGTTCGGTTTTGAACACACAAAATTTGAAGTATAAATGGATAAACCAAGCAACGATATACTATAAGCAGATGAACACTTGTGATTTAAAAAGTCACCTTGAGGGGCGCCTGGGTGGCTCAGTCGGTTAAGCGTCCGACTTCGGCTCAGGTCATGATCTCACAGTTTGAGTTCGAGCCTCACATCGAGCCTCACATCGGGCTCTGTGCTGATAGCTTGGGGCTCATGCTCATGCTCTGTCTCTCAAAAATAAGTAAACAGTGAAAAAAAAATTTTTAAGGAGTTATCTTGTAAATCACTTTAACTCTCAGCTTATTTCCCAATCTTTAAAAAAAGGGGGGGGGGCAGTGGATGACTGAGGAGGGATTTCTACCTCATTCACAGGATTGGTGAAGATGAAATGAAATAAAATACCTACAAAGAAAGGTACCTGGCCCAGTATCTGACACAACAGGATTTCAAATTTTGGGGTGGGGGTGGAGGAGGAGGGGCAGAGGGAGAGAGAACCTCAATACAGGGCTCGATCCCAGGACCCTGGGATCATGACCAGAGCTGATACCAAGAGTCGTACGCTCAACCGACTGAGCCACTCAGGCACCTCAGGAATTCAATTTTTTTTAATGTAAAAAATATACAAAACTGACTAGAGATTAGTTTCCAAAGAACTAAAGTTTACTTAAGCAAAATCTTTTTTAATATCTAAAAAATTAAGTTTTCTTCTACATTCTTGAGAATACTAAAACAAAACAAGCATCCTCTCTTGATGTTTTCATTATGAATAATGGCTGCTATATGGCACCACAAAATACAATGACGTCATCTGGAACTAACAAGGCATATGCTTATTTTGTGAAATAGAAACTTCCCATACTGTTATGGAGGCATTGGCAGGTGCTTTTCCTAAGTTTTTTTGTTTTAAGTAATCTCTACCCCCAACATGGGGCTCAAACTCACAACCCCAAGATCAAGAGCCACATACTCTTCTCATGGAGCCAGCTAGGCATCCCCCTTGGTTTGTTTTTAGCTATGTTTGAGAGCTGTTAGTGGGCTACCATCCTTTAAAATGTTATCTATGGTGGTTATCAAAATCAGATAACCAAAGTTTATGAACTTTTAATTTTTTTAATTTTTACTTATTTTTTTTAAGTAGGCATGGAAGCCAATGCGGGGCTTTAAACTCATGACCCTGAGGATCAAGACCTGAGCTGAGATCAACAGTCAGATGCTTAACCTACTGATCCACCCAGGTGCCCCCATAAAATTTAATTAAGAAAAAAAAATTCTAAAAAAGACATTCTCCAATAAATAAAATACACTTAAAAAATTTTTTTATGTTTATTCATTTTTGAAAGACAGAGAGAGACAGAGCACAAGCAGGGGTGGGTCAGAGAGAAAGGGGGACACGGAATCTGAAGCAGGATCCAGGCTCCGAGCTGTCAGCACCAGAGCCCAACGCGGGGGCTCGAACTCATGAACTGCGAGATCACGACCTGAGCCGAAGTCAGATGCTCAGCCGACTGAGCCACCCAGGTGCCCCAATATACTTTTCCAGTTGTTTGTTTGCAGGTTTACAACTAAATTAGTTGACTGTAACTGCCAGAAACCTAAGTGATTGAGTGATCACTTATTTAAAAAGTCTTTTCAAAATAAGTATGTATTCTCCAGAAGCTTGTAAAGCAAAAAACTTTGACAACTTACTAGGATATACTGAATAAAGATACTTTAT